AATGAAATGAACAAACCATTCAGTTGTTGTAAGGAGTTGGTTTATAACACCAGACACCATAGGACCTCTCATTATAGCACGTCCTTGTCCTGCAAATCCAAATGAGACTAGTTTGACCCCCATGTATTCTGTTGGAATGATGGTCTTCTTCTCCGGGTTCTATTAAACATACAAAAAACTCGAAAAAATTAGTCCTTTGTGTTACTGCTATCACAAGGTGAGTAAGAGAATATTACCATTTCCAATATACGGCTCTCAGGATTAACCATGGTTGGTAGACTTGGACCATAGACATCAGCATCAAAGATACCAACTCTAGCACCCATACCAGCTAATGTATAAGCAAGATTTACAGCTACTGTTGACTTTCCAACACCACCCTGAAATGTTCATCTAACAACAGCGTGTCATGAACTAAAAGGATGGTAGAAATAAAGACCAGATACTGTTTCGTTTCTATCTTCCCTGGTTCGTGAAAAAACAGCTATGTTATAGAAAACTATATCTATTGATTGGCTTCCAAAAAACTTGAACAAGACACGAATTTGCTAGAGAAACAAAGAATACAGTACAGGACATCTTATTCATATCACTTCACCAGGACTACTTTGAGAACAAGTTCAGTTCAAAGAGAAACATCAAGAGCTACAAAGAAAAGAAATTCATTGGAAGATATTTGTACCTTGCAACTAGAAACAGCGATAATGTTCGAAATTCTTGATAATCCAAAGGGAAGCTGCCCTGCAAATATGGGCTTGGCTGGTTGTGCTGACATTGTCACATTGACCTTCTTCACCCAAGGAAGCGCCGCAACTACCTCATTTGCCTTGTTCTCAAACTACAAAAGAGTCGCAATCCATCAAACAAACATAACTAGGATACACTAAAAGAACTGATATCATTTCTTATATAACTAAGGATATAGCTCCAAAATCCTCCTAATGGGATGAAATTCTATAACTAGTAGTATGATAAAAGAATAGTAGATGGCTTTGTCATTTACCATGTCCTTGACAGGACACGCCGGTGTTGTCAGCTCCAACCGGAACGAAACCTATAACAGAAGACCAAACATGTTTCAGCCTTGAACAAACAATCTAAAACAGAATAAATTGGTGAAGAAGAAAGTATAATATTACCTCTCCCAAAGCTTCATCAATCCCCAAATCTTTCACAAAACCACAAGAAACTATATCTGTCCCAAAATCAGGATCAATAATCTGAGACAAGGCCTTCAACACATCTTTTTCTGATGTTTTATCAACACTCTCACCAACACTACTACTAGCTGTCCAAAATGCATAAGTTAAAATGTCAGAACTTGCTTAGTCTCCTAGAGTTTAAAGTTACAACCTTTCAGGCAAAAATAGGTGATAAATAGAGAAAAGGAACAAACTTTATAACCTTGAGCTGAAGCAGCTTTAGCTATAGAGAGTTTCTGAGAGACCCGTTTGAGGATTCTTGTCCTGGAGATAGAGATAATGGAAGATTGAGATTGGAGAAACTTGTGAGAAAGAAGCAATCTTTTTGTAGAATTGCTTCTTTGAGTCTGAAACTCGAAAGAAGAATGCCGCAACGACTGAGGATGAAGAAGCGGCATTGCAACAAGAGAGAGTGGCAAAGAAACTAGCGGTCTGTGATCGCTAACTCTTTAAAAGATAAAACTTTTTCAAAGCTTTTTTTTTTGGTATAATACGACAACGTTTTTGGATAAAAAAAATATCAGAAAATCTGACCTTATATTCTTTGTTTTTTTATTTATTTTATTGTTAATAACGATTTCAAACTTGATTACTAAATCATAATTTTGTTATATATATATATGCAGTTTGATATAGTCAAGTGACTAAGTGAAAGGAATAACCTAGACATGATTATAAGAACGCATAAATGTGTACTCATTTATACGCTCTTATAAATTATGCGTTAGATTTTTCGTCGCACGTAATCCCTCAACTATATACTAGATCATCACCCGTACTAAAGTACGGGTTAAATTTTATTTATTACAAAATTTATATAATATATATATTAGAACTAAGTTTTAATATATTATAATAGTAAGTGAAAAAATATTAATTTTTTTGTCAGTCCCTATATAAAATATTATAATAAATATAGAATTTTTCTATAATACTCAATTATGGATAATTTTTTTTTTAAGATATGAAAACGGAAAATATATATATTTTTTTAAAGTAATATTTTTTGAACAATGAGTTAATTTATGTTAACAACCACAAAATAGGATTGCATATATTTTAGTTAGATCAAAAATTAAAATATCATAAATGAATCGCATATAAAACATAGATTATTTTGAATTAATTAAGAAAATTAGCTATTATTTTGAATTAATTTAGAAAATTCTTTTTCAATTTATAATTCTTTGGCTGTTGAAATAGAGATTTGTTTGAGCTAATCTAATTACAGAATTTATTTGAGATTTATAATTACGGAATTTACCAATTATTCGCATAATCGAATATGTTATAAACATATATTTAGTATATAATAATACCAAAATTAACCCGTGCGTGGAGTCTATATTTTTATTTTAGAATCTCAATATTTCATTTTAAAATATTGCGTGCACAATCTATTATTCGTTAATTCTAAAATTGCTTGCGGAATCAAATTTTCAAATATTTAGAGGTGTCAAACCATATTTAAATGTTCTACACTATTTTTAAATATTCCAAATTAAAATCTTTAATTTTTTTTGTAGTTTATAAAATTATGAATTTCGAAAAACAAATTATATGAAATTAAACATAACTATTCAAATAGTTATAAGGATCAAAACTCATTTTATCATATAATATATTATATTTAACCCGCTACCTATTATAAATATTTTTAAAAATAATCAAATTAGAGTATTTATAATTTTTAACTTTTTGAACTATTAAGTATTGATGATATTTTCTAAAATATCAAGTAAAACTTATTTTAAATGTTACAAATTAAAATATTAAAATTTTTATTGTAGTATATAAAATTATACATTTCAAAAAAATAAATGTATTAAATCGAATATAAATATTAAAATTCTGACCCGTTGCTCAGTCGGAATTTTTGTTTACTTTATTTTTGTGTAAAAGAAATATATTACTCAAGTCTGAATTTTTGACCCGTTTAATTGTTTCTTTTATAGATTGAACAATTTATATGCGTTTTTAAAAATTAAAATTTTGGTATATGCAGAAAAAAAATTACTTTTTTTTATTATGTAGATGATATCATGATTTATTTGTTTCATATTAATATAATCATATTAAGATGAGAGGTGAAGTTTATTGATTAATAACAAATTAATATGGTAAGTTAGATATCAAATCTTATATGTTCATTTTGATTGGTCATTTAAAAAAAATAATCATAACAGATTTTCGTTTTATAATTTAATTAAATGGCATAAATTAGTATTTTACTTGTTTATCCTTAATAAATTGAATGAAATTTGTTCTAAAAGAAGATTTTTGTAATGGCATTTTTAAGTAAATTCTTACAAAAGAGAAGGTTAGTTAAGGGTATCTTATAAAGTGTACTCCCCAAATAATAGTATAGGATTATGTTACATACATAAAAACAAAACTATTGTTTAGTTATGGAGCTTGAAATCAAATTAGTAAAGAGAAGACAAAAAAAAAATTGATGCATAACCCAAAATATGACAATGGATCCTCTGATATTTTTTATAAACACAAAACGCTATCAATCTACACAAGATCTCACATGTTTATGCAAAATAAATATTACTACAGTTTGGAAAAAAAATAAAATGTAGTTTAGATAATGCTGTTTTACCATAAGAAGTTTTTGAAACTGTCGATTAAAATATTTGCAATATGTTTTATTATGGTTAACAACATCCTCTAAACTACATTTTTTCTGTTTTATCAGGACTGACTTCCGGATTCTCTAGACATACAAAAAAATCAATTAGTGAAGAAAGCGGAAAATAATTAAAAATACTATTAAACTTTAACCAAATTTACTACAGTTGTTGAAATAAAAACTTTGAAACCTCTCTCTCTCACTGCGAAAAGATATAGAGTTGCTTTCTATCTTAAAATTTTGTAATATTTATCTTAAAATAAAAGAAATTTGAGATAAAAAAAATAAGAATGTTGTATTATTATTGGGTACCTCTAGATTTTATTATATACAAATTTTTTAAATTTTAAGATAAAAATTCTCACGCGTCTTTGACTAGAAATAAATGAAAAATTACACACGTCTTTGACTAGAGATAAATGAAAATCATACACGTCTTTGACCAGAAATAAATGAAAATTTACAACCATCTTTGACTGTAAGTAAATAAAAACTTACACGCGTTAAACATGCTCACTAGCCACGACAAAATAACTTCTTTCTATACTTGAAATCTTTTTAAAACTAAATTACAATAGAAAACCAGAACAAGATTATTGTGATTTCTTTCCAAAAAAAACATTAACTTTAATATTTCAAAATAAATCTTATCAAAGTCGAATTTCATAAATACATAATAGGGATTTTTTTCATTAAAATTCTTTATTTGAGGAGTTTTTTTCATTAATAATTTAGTTGAAGGGTCTAAAATGGATCTACCAATACTTGGAAGGGTTTTTCATTAAAATCTCTAGTTATAGTACGGTTTATTGGTTTTTAATGTTACTTTTATTTTTCATCTAACATGAAAGGATACTTCAATCTTAAAACATTTCACCGATGAGCAATAGGCAAAAGATAGTACCATTGTCTCTATAAATTTGGCCATACTTGACAATTTGGCTACCGATATAACAAACAGGTCATAGTGGCAAGTGAGTACAACAGAGCAAGGACCTCTTTAGTTTTATAGATATGAACAGAAACAAGGAACATAAGGAGTTTTTTTTTTTTTTCTTTTATTATGTCAAATTCTAAATCTAAAACCCAATCCAAAGAGATTGCAATGTGGTCAATTCTGTGATCCAAAATGATGATAAATAGCCGAACCCACGTTAGAGAAATCATGGACTATTTTGTTCTAATCATATTATTCATACTAAAAAAGAATGTGGTTGAATCAATGGGAAGCTTGATCAGTGTGAGATTATTACTCCATTGTTTGGCCTTTTGGTGGAGACAACATCAGCGAATGCATCGAGAAGCTGGCCAGCAAGACTGCTTGGATCATCCTCTAGAGTCTGCACAAATGTGCTCACAACGGATTGCTCCTGAGCGGTTGACCTCATGCTGAACCATGTCAAGAACCTGACCCTGAATGTTTTGTCAATGTGGCCTTCACGCTCCAGCCACCTGATTACCTTCACACATTTCTCAAGAGTGTCATCAATCGGCGAACTGTCACACTCGTGGTTCTCTGAGTCATTACTGTTTGAAATTGCTTTCCTCTTCCTGGTCATGAGGAAATCAAATTCAGTATCATCACCGCTTCCATCTGATATAACCAAGCAGTCATTGTTGTTCTTCCGACTACCGTTAGACACATCATCATCATAGTTATCATGCTCATCACCATCAGCCTCAGCAAGCGAATTTAACGGCACTCCATTGTCTTCACCTCCAGAAGAATCAGGTAGAGGAGTGAACTCCTCATTCAAGTCTGGCACTGAAACTACATTTAGATCAAACCCATGCGGCCGTCGAGATGGCAATTCTTCCTCTGGCGGCTCACAACTTTTCTCAGTATCTACATTGTAAAACGCTTCAAGCAAGCCTTCCTCCTGAGCTTCAGCCAACTGCACATACTTCCCAAGTTGCCCGATTTGGAATCTTGAAGAAATGCTACTTTTCTCCTCTCTATCTGAAGGCTGATCATTACCTACTAAATCAATTATCCTCTTTTCCTTACCATCCACTGGTTTCAATATCTCAACGCTCTTCGTAAAGCACATAGCGTTCGAATGGCCAAATATACCAGCTTCTGTGTAAGAGACAACACGGAATGTGTACTCTGTGCAAGGCTCAAGGTCAGATATCACCATCCTCCTCTCAGTTCTACTGCAATCAACAAATAAATCATCCTCAGGCGTCTCTCCTTTCTTGAAATACCATAACTTGTAACCCTTAACATCATACTCTACAGCACTAGGTAGCTCAATCAGACGAAGAGTCACTTGTTTTGGTGCAATATCTTCGAAATGAAACCTACACGCAGCAGGAACTAAATCTGCAAAACATATACAAGAACTTATTTCATTACTCTCTCTTTCAGATTCATTGCAATAAACATATCTCTAATACTAACCTCTGGCTGCATTGGCTGAAACCTCCTCTGCCTTCTTTATTGCAGAAGTGCAGAGCTCTTGTACCTCAGCTGCAACAGGAAGCCGACTAACAATGCCCCTATCAGTTCTAGCAGTAGGTCCATCAAGAGGCCCAACTTCATCTTCTAGCTTAGACTTAGCAGCTCTAACAATCTCATGCAATTCACTAAACCGACTAGTCCCATTGAGCAGTCTATAACTCAAATCTATCCTATAACACAGTACATCACGCCGTCGTGCTTCCTTTGCTGCCACAAGCTGCTTTTTCCAACATCTTCATAAACACACATTGAGTTACACAAACAAAGCCAATTACAGCAATCAGAGCTATTGTAACATCAAAGAAAGTATATAAAGGAAGAAACTTTACCCAAGAATTTGAGAAACTTTGCCACAAGAGTAACAACAAAAACAACCATCAAGCTTCATCAAATCCCCAAGACCAATAACACCAACTTTGTTTTCACGAAAAGCACACTCAATGTGACACGATAAGCCACAGAACTCAACATCATCTGATTTCTCAGGTTCACAAACTAACCAAAGACTAGGGTCTTTGTTTTCATCGAAACCATGGCAAACACAACAAGAACATCTCTTGCAAAAGGAATCATCTTTAGGTACATTAGCTCTACAAGATGCATTCTTGCAGATCCATGATGATCTCAAACCCACACCATCGTCTTCTTGTTGTTTCTTGTTAGATTGTTGTTTCCCATTTGAATCATGCTTCTTGTTTGACTTGTTGTTCGTCTTGCGTGATTGAGAGATCTTCGATTTCGTCGATGATGAATCCATGGCTTGCTTAGAAAATTTTAAAGTCTTTCTTCACAGATGTATTCGTCGAGAAACCATGATTGGGTCGTCGTTGTTGATTCAGTGTAGAAATTGGGAGACATGGTTTGGTGGTTGAGATACCGGAGGAGTTTTTCAGGTCGCTGTAGATTTAGTCGCCTGAGAAAAACATTGCCGCGGCGGCTCAAGTTTGGGGGAAAGAGAGAGGAAGGAGATGAAAGTTAGAGATTCTAGGGTACACGTGTCATTTTGTTTTTTATTTTATTTTATATGACAATTATCATAATGGGCTTATTTCTCAAAAGGGCCTCCACTTTCTAAGTTTCAAATTTTGAGCGACTAAAAAAGGAAAGAACACAATTCTTGCTTTTAACCTTTTTTTTATTTTATTGTTCTTGAGAAATAGTAAAAGATTTTTTTTTCTAATAGATTTCATTTTAATTTTACTGTTGATGATTTCAAAACTTTTTTTTTTTTTTTTTGAACAAAGATTTTAAAACTTAAATGTTAAAAAATACAATAGTTCAAAAATTTATGTCGTTTATCATCTTTGATAGCAACAATTAATTACCCAACATAACTAGTATTGATTTTGTTAACTAAGGTCGGGTAGTGTAACCATAGGAGAGCAAATCTCACATTTGATCCGAGTTTGAAAACCATCTTTGAACAAATGTTCTCTGAAGAAAAATATTTACTCACTATTTTCGTAGTCTACGAATATCGGAGAACGCAAATGCGATTTGAGATCTGATTCAAAACTTTGCAATACAAGAAAAAATAGTTTGATTATGTTAGTTGTATTGATTATAAATATGGACACTAACACATAAACTTAATGGAATTAATATTATTTTATGGTTTATGATGTATGTGAGACAAGGATTTAGAAGATGCAAGCTTCCTTCACTGTTCGCGTCTGGTTCAGAGCAGTGCAAGTTTCGAGATAAGCTTGAGAGAGTTGCACTTCGTCTGGGGTGTAGCCACTAGTACGACTGGGGTCATTGGAGCGGACGTGCTCTCGAAGCTCTCGGTCGAGGTTGAGAACCGTCTGAAGCAAGGCTTCATACTCCTTGTCTTCATCGTCAGAAGAACTGCCACCGGAGGAGCTCCCGCTAGAGAGAGCGCGGGAAGATGAAAAAACTGATCAGGAAGCTGTTTTACCCAAACCAAGGAATCACTTCATGTTTCTTTGTTTTTTTTTTCGATTTTTGGTACATTTTTTTTTCATCCTCTTACCTTTCTTTATAGCCGGAATCATTACCCGAAATGGGAAATGTACTCGATGAACTAATTTTTATTGATGATTTTAGGAAAAGACGAACCAATCAATACTAGTTACACTATTGTAAATGTTGAAAAATACAATAGTTCAAAATTTTATGTCATTTATCATCTTAGATAGCAACAATTAACTACCCAACATAACTAGTATTGATTTAGTTAACTAAGGTCGGATAGTGTAACCATAGGAGAGCAAATCTCATATTTGATCCGAGTTTGAAAACCATCTTTGAGCAAATGTTCTCTGAAGAAAAATATTTACTCACTATTTTCGTAGTCTACGAATATCGGAGAACGCAGATGCAATTCGAGATCCGATTCGAAATTTCGCAATACAAGAAAAAATAGTTTGATTATGTTAGTTGTATTGATTATAAATATGGACACTAACACATAAACTTAATGGAATTAATATTATTTTATGGTTTATGATGTATGTGAGACAAGGATTTAGAAGATGCAAATAAGTGAATTAACAAAGTTGTACTACAAGATATCTATTCTTGATAAAAAAGAGTCAATAATACATGTAATAATATAGAATCCATAAAATGAGCTGATCCATTTCAAAGCTAGATTCGGTAAACTAGGCAGCAACGTATCAGGCTATGACATAAGAGGGGGCTCCTATGGTCCACACCCTGCACGACCAAGTAACTATGTACTGATTTTGTAAATTACTTCCGTGTCCAATATTCTAAACATGTATTTAACCAAATCAATATTCTAAGATAGGATGTATTACTAGATAATTTTAAAATTCTGATTCGTGGTCCAACTTATAAACTTGTTAGAGCATGATTATTGGTTGGACTCACATTAGGAGTCCAAATCATATATATAATTGTAAATAATACAAAATTTGAAATTTAGACATTTAAGTCCAAATCAACTAATTGAAGACACGTATAGGTGTCTAAATGACTTCTAAAAGTCTAACTTTAGACATGAGTCCAATGTTTTCTTTTGTTTTTGATTTAAATTTTAGACATTTTTGCTTTAGATCTCATACTTAGACCTCCCGATAATCATGCTCTTATTAGACTTTGAGGACTCTTAGAGCTAATTATAAAACTTAAGCATGTGCATGTATTTACTATTTAGTGAGAACTGATTATAAATTTTCATATTAAACTGGGTAATGACAACCACTTGGTGTTAGTATAAACGTAGTATTTAATGAAATATAGGGATAGAAAAATATCTGTGGAATAAAAAACACATAAAATTTGTTAAGAATTCTTACATCAAAATAAAATATGAATTTAAAACATATAAAAATGATTTATCTATTCATCATTAATTGGGTTTAAGTTGAAAACTCATCATAAACCTTGATATGGATTAATCAAAGTGATCTAAAATGAATATGAATATACCTAATAATCTAAATTAGAATTTGGTCTAAATGAATTAGCTAACAACAGTCATCATTTCAATGAAGTGTTAGGAATATGATTATTATTGTTTTGATTGTACGAAAAAAAGAAAACCATCCCCACTAATTTGTATATATGATTAATGAGAAAGATGCAAGATGTTACAAAATATAATGGAACAAAAAAAAAGTGGGATAGAGATTAGAGGAGATAGATGCATGCATGTGTATGTACGCACAATCAGATAATGATAATAATATTGTATGACATGAAGATGTAGATTGACATGAAAGGCCCATGTGGAAAGAAATAGTGATTCAAGGAGAAGAAGACCAAAGCTGAGCATTCTTGACTTTACAAATACTCTCTAACACATCTACTGGCATTATGTTCCCCTTCACCACCACTTTCTTGCTCTCTAGCTCCACTTTGTACCATGTCACTCCTGTTTATTATTATAAAGAAATCCATATTTAGTCTTTCAACAGTTTCATAAACATTTCCTGTTTAGAAAATATATAAAAACCAAAAGTTCTTTAATGTCAGAACTCTGCTATCTTTGAATTTCTGTTCTATTGTAGTTTGCAATGATTTCTTACAAAACTATTTCTTAATTTTTGTTTTTTTCCATTTAACAAATGATTGCGATTAAGAGTTAGCTAGATTTTTCTTTTTAATGATAATTAAAGAGTTAGCCATTATTATTTTTTTTCTAATTTTAACCATATGAAATATCAATAAATAAGCTACATTATTTTATTTTTTTCTCGGAGTTTTGATTTGATTTTTTCTTGGTTTTGGTTCATCTCTTATTTGTATGGTTTCAACAATTCAGCTTCACTTTTTGGAATTCTACATGTACAGAAAATACGGACCCATTTTGGTTTAAATAATTATAGAAATATGCTTCTCGAAATAGTGGAGCTAAAGGTGTCAATGCATTGCTACGGATGCTTCTCGACTTTCTTCGCACATCCGTAGCAATGCATTGACACCTTTAGCTCCACTATCTGCATACATCACCATCACCATTCCAAACTATTTTATAGTACAATTATTTTTAATAAAATTTCGAACTTTAAACTCCTTGAAATAATTCATTTAAAATCTTAGATGAAACTAAATGTTTATATAACCATCAAATGTATTATTCTATTCGATTTTGGGAGACCAAGGAAAAAAAAAAAAAAAACTAGAATAACTAGAAAAACGCACACCACCATAGAAGAAAAAAAGCCCCCACACAACTTTTGAAGAGCTAATAAAACATATATTTCACTGCTTCCAAAACATTTTCCTTGTGATAAGCATTTTTCAAAGCTCAAGAAATTATCATACATATTATATTTTAAGGTATAATGTTGAGATGATTTGTGGTTTACCTTAGGCTTAAGATGAAAGGCAAGAGTCTGACGATGATCAGCAGCTACAACATCTTTTAATCTCATAACCTTCCCAGATTTCTCTGCTGAAGAATCTATCAATGGCTTCTTCTCAAACACTTCTTCTTCATCGTCTCCTAGAGTGTTTAGACAAAAACATGAACACTGATTTGTCGGAAGAAAAAAACAATCCCATACTCTCCCAATCTTCTGGAGCTTCCCCATTAACTTGAAAAGTAATTAAGGGTTTCTAGCTAGAGAGTGTGATCTTGGGAAGACTAATAAAAAGGAGAAGTTGGGTGAGAAAGGAGAGAATATGTGAGAGAAATACTTGCTTGTATTACACACTTACACTGTCTTAAAGAGATGAAGAGAGAGAAGTAAGGTGTGTGAATAAGTCAAACATTGAAATGATATTGTAGAGACCGATGAATTTACAATACTTTCTTTATTATCTTCATTTCATAAACTAAAATGTTAAATCTATCATTAGATCTATCTTACTTTTGTCATTTTTCTTCCTCTTTAATTTACTTTAGACCATTCTGGTGAGCCAATATTATTATAACTCTTGATTAGTATGGCGAGTGTAACCACTAAGTTAGCTTATCTTTTGTGTTACTTTTAAATTGTTCAATGTCATTGTCAGCCAATGGAGAAGTATGTGAAATAACAGTTTACAAACATACAATTATATGTTATATAATATGATATGACAAGTGATAAAAGAAAGAAAGAAGAAGACATAGGTCACATCTCACGTTCAACAACTCTCCAACATTGACACCAATTTTCTTATGTCATTGGAAATAAAATTAAATTGAATATTTTCATATAATTATAAGAGTGAATTAGTGAGAGAGGCATGTGATGCAAGCTAAGTTAGTGTGACTTGTAGATAAGCATCTTCTCTTTTGGCTTCACTCTCGCCGCTCCACTTCTCTACATTTTCTTTTAATTTTTAATTTTGATTATCCCATCTCTTTGTCTCTTTATATATGATTCAAAATTAGTCTTGTTAAATCTAATTTCTCTACTTTAAATATCTCATATATCATGGATAAGATGAACCTGAGAACATGAACTTTCGACCAGAAATATAGAGGGGAATAATTATAAAACCAAAAAAACATGAGTAAGCCTATGAAGAACATGTGGAAAGACCGTAAGAAGGTATTATATGCTAAGTGCTTTAGGTTAATCACGTGAAAAGACAAATGCATAATTCTTCTTCTGCATGCCAAAACATGCTCTTTCATTTTCATGCTTAATTATCGAAGCAACATTAATTATGTTCCTACTTCATGTGCTATTTATCTCCACTTTTTTTTTCCCTGCTATAATTCTGAATCCTCATTAGCTGGTTACTAATATTTAATTTAGAAAAATGCTTATATACATTTTATAATATTATATGTACGAAGCTAGAAATACTGAACAGAGAAACACCGAAAAGAAATAAAAAGATTAAAAACACAACTGACAAGAAAAGGCTGGAACTAGTTTAATCAAACTTGTTATCAACCTCACAATTGGTCTTCATGTTTTAAAAAAAGAAACTTTTTTTTTCTTTTTTAAAAAAAAGAAACTTGCTAACCCAAATTTTCATTTATTTAGATAAATCCATAAATCTAGAATCATAAAATCATACTACTAGACCCTTCTATAATTAGTTTTCTGTGCATCTATACTATGCTATTCAAAAATATTTAACTATGTAATTAATTCTTACGTAATTATTTCACATATTTTTCGAATTTAGTGTTAGATTAAAAAATAAATGATGGACATTTCTATTATAAAATGTTGGTCTCAGAGTTATAAAAATTTATTCGCAAAAATTTCCGAACTTCTTAGTTAACGTTATATAATTTAGTATTCAAAATACTAATTCTGATGTAAGAAGATGGCACTAGCACCGCCCCTCTATTATTGGAGAGGCATGGCCTCATTGGTTCAACTCACTCTTTTTATAGTTCAATCTTTCATTTCATTATATTTCTTTAACACTTTTCAGTTGCATACTTGCATGGCATGAACCCCATTTGAATGTGACATCAAAAAAAAAAAAGTTAAGCAGAAACCCATTTGTTTGATTCGTTTCTTTTTTACAAGGTGATGACTGATCTCATATTCCTATGCCTAAGCATTTAAACATGGTTGATGAAGAAGTCTCGTTTATATAAAAAGCTCATCCAATAAACACAAAATACTAATGAGAAAAAACAAATCTGGATCAATAATAGATGTCATAGTTAATTATATCCGATTATTTTTGTTAAGCATATCTGAAACACAAGACGCCTATATAATGTCGGATGTCCAAATCCAGGGACCAAAGACTACATACATAAGTGTGTATGTATGGTTTGAAAACAAAATTACTGTCTGATTATTATATGTTGGATCGAAATTAAAATGAATTATACTACGTGGGGTCGCAGTGTAGATATTCTGAAAATACATTAAATTGTCGAATTGAAATGTCAATACTTATGTATAATAATCACTGCATATGGACCATATCGAACACTATAGCTGAGTGACTACACTCACTTTCGTCTTTACGGCCATCTAATGTTTCTTGCTTGTGTTATGTCTCTTCTCTTGCTTTTAGTTTACTGCTCTCGCAGAAAAATCTAAGGTATAAGACTTGACTACGTAGGACTAAGGATTTACCACACTTACAGGTAGGTCCACTAAAGATACAAGTAGATGAACCAATTATATAGAGATCGAATGTACATTTCCAACATATGTTGAAAACATATGTTTTACTATGCTAGATTGCTTGATTCAATTTACAATTACAAATAATTCATGTCAGTTTAAACGATTCACAAGTAACTAACATTTTTTAGTTTTATTTTTTTATTGGCGACACAAAACGGAAAAGCATAAGAAAAAATACAGTAAACAATAGTGGAATAACTAGAAAACACAAAAGATATGTAACTAGTAACAATTAAGAGCATCTTCAATTGTTGGCTTCAAATATTTCTTCAAAATTAAAGTTTCTTCAAAATAAAGGAAAAAATGAAGCAAGACGTTTCCTATGGTTTCCTTCATTTTTTAGGATTGAGCACGATTACTCATTATCCGTCCCGTATCCCTTACTTGTTTCATACCTGCTTTAAAAAAAGAAGTACATGTTGTTATTAATAGCAAATAAAAAGTTATAAAATTTAGATATTTGCAAATACAAGCTAAGTAATAAATAATTTTAATCAAAGAAAACTACTACTCGACTTGTTTGACTTGTTATTAGTTTAAAAATATATTTAAAAGTTATGTTAAAAGTAATGTAAATTTTAAACATAAAAAAACATAACAAATAATCAACAAGAAATTGCAAGTAATTTGAAAGTGTTACTTGCAAGCAACTCGTAAATAATAAGTAACTCGTAAGTCAATCATTTTTAGCAAATACTTAAAATTACGAGTATTCGTTTTCAACAAAGCAAGTACAAATACAAATTTTTATTATTTATATAAGGCAAGTTAAATAATAAGTATCTCTAAAATAATGGATACTTGTCTTGTGCTCACCCCTTATCGTTGCAAGTTTTTCTCTAAAATAGTTTTAACATGGTGGAAGGTTATTTTTGCAGCTTTTTAAAGTTGAGATTGACCATTCTACAGAGAAAGAAAGAAAGAAGATAGAAATATTAGATTTTTAAAAACTTTTTTTTCCTCTTTAATTCATTAAAAGAGTACATATATATATGGTAAGACAATTTCTCTCTAGTTATAATGTCATTTTCTACCTTTCGTAATACATACTACATAGTCATACAGTATTTCTACTACATTTTGTCTTCATTAACAAAACTCACACCTATATTTGGGCTTAATTTTACTTAATGGCCCAAACGCCCTTCTTTGATTTTCTTTTTGTGAAACTTCTTTTCATCCACAATTCTTCTCTTTTTTCGACAATATTTCTTTGGCCTCGTTAGTCTATACAACTACGGTCAAGACTCAAGAGCTTCCTTTGTTCTCTTCTTCTCATCAAGTTTGACTTTTTCTTTTGGAAAACTTAACAATTTAGGGTTTTAAATGTCTTACTCTTCTATGGCTGTACTTTTATTCACCAGAAAGCTGTTAACTAGGTGCCATTTTATCCTTGTTGTGTTGTTGTAATATCAACTTATCCGTGGTTATTCTTATCTATCCGTGCCTTTGTTTTATTCTTAGTTTTTTTTTATATTTTCTTGAGATACATAATCTTAAGGTTGATATTGTTTTGTAAAAGTATTTACATAGGGACCATCATAATTCTTGTTAAGAGTGAAAAATTGGTTTCTTCTTAGATGTGTTTTGGAAGATAGTTGAGACATCGTTCCACGTTATCCCTTTTTGTCTCTATTCCTTTTTTAAGAATCTTTGTTCGATGATGACGAAAGAGTCTTTGGACTTTTTTTATAATATAAATGGTGTATGCTTTCTATTTTTGATTTACATTTTGACATATGCATGCGTAATTTTATATAGAACCATCATATGGACATATGTTTGATAATCAAAACCCTTGACGGTCACAAATGAGATGATGAAATAATAATCATAACTATTTTCATATCCACCTTCCTAGAACAATCTACTTACAAAGATTTGGTTTCCAAATTCCAACAATTCCCCAATCTAATCGTCTAATACTATTTTCCCACCAAACCCATGAGAGCATGTTTGCTTTGCCACCGCAACTTCCATCTTGGTCGTAGGTGAAAAAGGTCTATCCCAAGGAGAAAAGAGATCCAAAACGACAAAGTTCTTTGTCGTTTCCCAAAATCTCCTTACCTCTCATGTCCCACTTGTTGTTTGTCTTCTGCTCTTTAGTATGAGAGGAGCCACCAACATCCAAACTATCAAAACATGTCATCAACAAAACATTACAAAACTGTTTCAAAGACTCAAAATTTTAAGGATGAAGCATTCAAAATGTTGTCATGACTTACTGTATACGCAAACCGCAAGCCACTCGTTCACAACCCTTACCCAAGTACTCGTCCATCCCACGTCAATCGTCCACCTGAACGCAAAATAAGAAAGAAAAAAACAGTATGAGTTAAAATCTCAAGCTTCAAAATGAGACTACAAAGTCTCACAAAAGCTTTTTAGTTTATTATGTGTATATGAATAAGTTGAGAAAAGCTTTACTTTTTCATGGGGTGATGAGTGTTCCAACCGATGAGTAGCATAGCAAAGTACATTGCTCCTGTGGCAAACACAAAATGGAAGAATCCATATCCATAAGGAACACCATCTTCCTCTTCTTCTTCTTGGTCGTTCTCATCTTTCTTGAATTGGAAACATTGGGAGTCTATTCCTGTCGAAAATGTGGCAATAACCATTGCGAGTAGCGCAACCACAAAGCTCTGCACAATGTTAGTCAAAATCAGCATATTTTATTTTTGGATGAAACAGAAGCAAAGGAGTGCTGAGAGGTTAAAAGAGTTTACAATGATGGTAAGCCAGTCCGTTCTGTTCGAAGCTGCTGCTTTTCTATTGCAACTTTCTCCCACTGGTTCACTGCACAACATAGATGAATCAATATACAATTAGAAGTCTTCAACATAAAAGAAACATTAGATGGTTGTTTTAGGTTGAGATGCAGAACTTGTATAGAAGTGGGTCAATTACATTTTACGACGTTTACAAATATAATTAGATGGTTGGAATTGCTTTAGAAACTATATCATAATTTTGTATGTTTTTTTTTTACTTTTTCAACAGCTGAAACAATGAGATTTACTATAAACCATAGATAAATCTCTACAATAACACTAGAAAAATAAATATATATAATTAGGTTACTAGGAACCTGCATCTTTCGATTCGATTCCTAATTTCCTAGGATCCTTAAACCAAGAAACCCGACCCAAACCCGACCCTTGGAACACATAAGTCTAGAACCCTGAAACAGAAAACCATAGACCACTCATCATCATCTTCCCCTTTGGAGCTTTCTTGCTAACAGAAGCTTAACTCTCCGTTGCTACTGGTTTTTTGAGGAGGAGCAATTGGGTTTAAGGTTGGTAGCTGTGTCTGCATTTCCTTGAACCTTAAAATATCGTTAACGACACAGAAGCCATTGTCTTGTTGAGCAAGAAGAAACGTTTGAGTAAACTTGTTCCTCACGTTATCTTTCTTCCTAGTCAAGTAACCATTGACAAACACAATAACACGACCGTTCTCCATAGGATATGGTATACCAAGTGAAGTCTCAATCTCAGCCGTGTAATCTTCGTATCTCATAGCCAGAAACTCATCTTTCACCTCTTTCTTCGTCCAAAAAGTTTTCTTGACGTGGGTTGCAAGATCACGCCGGTTAAACAGACAGGGTTCATTGTAGAAGATATGAAGATAGTGAGGTTCTTCGTTAAGAATGTGATAGTATTGCTTCACAAAGGTATTGCTAACAATATATGCATTAGTGTTGTTCTCTGACATATCTCCAGGGATTGAGAGAGCTCTGATGACAGAAGCTTCGAAGGAAGATGATGAATGGTTCTTGGCTTATCCCCTCCACCATATATATAGTGGCTAAAGACTCCCAAAACCAACTAAATTTCCTAATCCTACTCGACTAGTACTAACTCCTAATTCCTAAACCATACTAACTTTATAGAGAAGTTACCTAAACCACAAAATAAATAAAAATAGAGATGACAATATAAATTTTGATTATTTTATAAATATCTATAAAACTTAGGAAAACAGAGAAATAGATGAAACAATGATTTTTTTTTGTTTGATTTTCAAACTTTTTAAACAACTGAAATTTATAAATTTGAACAACTAACCGGCCCGGTCAAAAAAACTATCGGTTTGTTGGTAAATTTGGTTTTTATCTGATTTAACCGAGTCAAATAATTTGGATTTTCAAGATCTAACCGGACCGAATTATCGGTTTTAAGACATTAAAAAACAGAGATCAAGATTGAAGGAAACATAAACATACCTTCGAATGGCACACCAGCAGATAAACACAACATAGAGTCCCATAAGAGCTGGAGTCAAGTATCCAGCATTCACCTGATAATGTTGGCAAAAGCACAAACAAACCTTAATAACTTCAAACATCCAAAACACACATGACTTGAAAACATCCAAAGACTTACTTTCGGATGGAGAGCGATGCTTGTCATGAGTTGGATAAGGAACAAAGTCCATGTTATGAAGAATATATTGAGAAGGCATGACGAATCCGGCGCATACCAAATGTACATCAATATCACTCCTACTATGCAAACTGTGTATGAAGTAGTTGCTAGTAACATCACATAGACACGGCTACAAAACAGAAAGAGTGTTGCTTACTTAGTATAAACTGAAATAAAAACTAAAACTATAAGATGAATCGAATTTAAGATAATCTAACCATCTTTCTGCATCTTTTTGGGACTGATAGCATTCGTTAAGCCATTGAATGAAACTGATCACACTAATTAGCTGTATTAGAAGAAATACCCTATAGAGAAACAACAACAATATATGATTTGGCATTTTTAATATATTATATACATTGTGAAGTTGGACATATCAATCAAAATCTTACCCTGCCCCAAAATGGGCAATCTCTCCTGCAAAATCAGACCAAAGAAAAGAGACGTTACTAGTTGTGCCAATTGAATTTCAAAGATTATTAGAGGAAGGTTACTTTATCGAAGACTAACCGTAAAGGTGAATAATGGAAGACGGAAGCAAGAAGGGAATGATTGTTAAAGCTGGCCACATGATGAGCTTAGCAAACCACCATCCAGAATGCCATCTATCTCTTGATGAATGCGTTTTCGACGTGCCAAGCGTTGAAAGAAACATAACAAAGTAGAACAACTGAGGATTTAACGGTTAAGCTCAAAACATTTTCTGATTTAGTGACTTGAAAAATCATAAAATGATGATGTAACAATTGAATCAAGAAAGGATACAAAACATCCCAAGCTAACTCTTAAGACACCGTCGGTCCCCAAACAGTTTTCTCCGCCTTTACAATTCTTGAATTCTGCAATATGATCAAACTTATAAGACAATGAATGAGTTAGTTATAATTGAAACATGATCCAAGTGACACATACTTGTCACTTTTCTTAAGGCACCCCGACCATAATCACGAGCAGCCCAAGCTAGTAGATTCGCGATGAGAAAGATCAGACCGTATACATATCTAGCCATCCATGGATTGCAGCCATTGCGGAACTGATTAAACCATGATCCATTCTTGATTGCTTCATAGCTATCGTTTCTGATGCTTCCGCTGTTGTTACTAACACTTGTACCGGTCTCCATTAGTCCTTAAACTTACCAGACTCTCTCCTCTTCATGCCATTAGAAGATCAAGAAATTCAAGAAACAGATCACTCATTCCATGGGAGAATTTTGCATCAGAAATCAGTTTCTTATATGGAAGAAATCGTCAAGAACGAGAAAAGGCAAAACAAGAGCGACGAATTCGCCCTCCTTCAGATCGAAACCTGTGAAAACAAACAAAGAATACTCAAGCATTTGCAAAAACAGAGTCTGCAAGAACAGAACAAGAAGACAAAAGAATGAAGCAAAGGAGAAGAATCCGATTCCGTTATCAAAACAATGAGAAGAACACATACAAATCTATTCAGAAACGGTAGAGAGATTGCGATTTGTAGATTTGAAGTGAACAAAATTCATGTTTTACATGAGAAACATCTTTAGTCTATTCTTAAAAAATCACACAGAATCCGTTTCTCAACAGAAAGCATCTCATTTCTTTTCTGTTTCAGCCGAACAAAAACAGAGAATACGTATAGTGCAAGTAACCTTTTATCATCTTTTTAACCTAAACTAAGAAAAGCAATCTTTATAAGCGTCAACGAGAATCCACAATAGATGGCTCATTTTAATCCAAGATTTGCAACTTTAAACCTTAACCATGTGAATAATAAAGACTACAAGACAAAAGACATACCAAATTTAAAAAGCAAGACAGTCAAGATTCTTAAGACTTAAAACTCCCAAAGTCAAGATTTGGCAGGAACCTTTTTGTGTTGTAACTATAATTACCCTAATGATAATGGAGAGGCGTGGATCAAAGAAGTACCCAAAAAAACTTTATTTGACAAGGAAACAAAAGGTTAAGAGATCAAAAGAAAAAACGAAAAAGAATTAGATCTCAAAAAGATTTATGCAATTTGTCACAAATTTGAACTTGAAAAAAGAATCGTGTTCTTACGAATATGAATGGGTAATATTAAGCAGCAATATCAAATGCCCTTTTTCTAGGGATTCATTGGTCCACTACATAGAGTGGAGACACATACCTCCACTTAGACGAGTTGAAGAAAAAAGTGGGATAATTGATAGACTATCTTTGCAAAAAAATCTAAGAAAGAAAAACGTCATCTACAATATTGACATTAACATATACACATTATTATCAAATCTTCAAATTTCCTTTATCGCTAAAGAATCTTGAAAATTTTCTTTTAATGAGATTTATACTTTCTATAATGATCTAATCTTTAACTTCTAAGGCCCAAGAACAGAAAAAAAACTTGACCATAAACCCGTATAGAACATATGGCAACTAAGTGATTCTATTATTAAACGTGAACGTGCTTGCTCTGTGACCATTTATTGCCTTATATGATAATTGTTATATTAAAAAACTTGACCATAAGTTTTAGATGTTAGAAAATTATGGTTTTCGTCGGTTACAACCATCAAACAGCGATTTAAATGGATCAAAACCGCATTCATAATGTTTAAATTAAATATATAAAATGAGTTTTTTTAGCTTGAAATATAGATTTTTATGATTTTTAATATTTAGTTAGTAAATAATATTATTATTTTTAAATGAAATATAATCCACCACATTTATATTTTAATATGTATGAAACAAAGTTCAAAATATTGTTTTGTTTATCAAAAAATAAATTCCCAAGAGAAAATCAATAGCTCTTTAAAAACCTTTGCATAAAATTTAGGGATATAGGCAGTATATATAACTGAGTAGATCTAGTGATCATTCTCACGTTCCACGTTCATAATAGACTTAGGAGTTAGAAGTAATGAGATCATGGCCTTGCCATTATGAAATACATAATATATAAATATGAAATATAGAGAGAATAAATAATGGTAAATTTGATCCTAATATAGAGGTAGCATGTGAAGATGTGAGGTATTGGTACATGTAGTCTAGGTAGTAGATCAGAATGTTTAGATTCTCAGAAATAAGTATCATATCTCGTAACGTTCAAAACCAAAGTAATGATTATATTCTTTAACACTATAGGTAGGCCATCTTATGGACCTCATCAAATCTTTCGTGACAAAAAGACAACTCTTGAAACCAAAAACTTACTTTGAGGATTAAAAGCATTTTCATTTACCTAAATTGGAAAACAAACCCGAAAATAACCGACATCTAAACCAAACTTTCACAATTAGATGGACTAGTAAACCATAATACCAAATAGTCAAGCATATATTGGTTTTTTTTTTTTAATTGTTTTCTAAATCAACATTTGCATTGAGTGTGTTTTCATTGACTCTACACAATAAAATGGACAGCCAATAGAAATTGAATCTTTATTTTGTGTGTGTTCTCTTTTGACTCAACGAAGAGAAAAATAGTTTATTTTAGCCGCAGAAATTGAGTTAGATTGCAAAAGAAGGAAAAACAAACGTAAAGCAATACTAATTAGTCTATCCCCAGTCTAAATTACATATGTTTTAAAAGAAAGAATTCTAAATGACTAACGCAAAGCCTTAAATTCGTAACAACTTAACTTTGACAAAAAAAAAAGGTCAAAAACAAAACGTAAAACAATACTAAATTACATATGTTCTAAAAAGAAACAATACTTAATTTTGACTTAACTCAAAACGATAATTTCCTAACGACTCATTAAACTTTGACAAAAAAAAGGTCAAAAATATGTCAATAGCTCGTCCTCATGTATTGTTTGGGCATAAACATTAAAATTAAACTTAATTATGAAATTCATAATGATGTTGATTTTTTTCGGCTAATCTTGTTGGCAAAGTGAGATAATTAGCAGAAAGCAAAGAGGCTGAAAAAGAAAAAGTGAGGTCGAGTGGTCCCTCGATGTTCCACAACTTTGGAAATGTTTCAACTACAGTTTTGACAAGTGGCTCCGACCAATTTTCCGGTGGCTTTTCCGGCGACGGGAAGAACAAGCAAAAATATTACATCACTAATTTTACACCCGGAGCTAAGTTTCGTTTTCCCTAGATACATTCATAATTCATAACAAGCACACACACACACACACACATGAACATGTTTATAAATCTCAGAGATCCTAAAAAGAGACAAGAACATAGAAGAGAAAAGAAAGAGAAAGAACCTGTGTTTTTTCGTGTCTTGAATCTATAAAGTGAGATTGGATCTGGAGATGTAAAGAATGTTGTGTGTTTTAACCTCCACAAGCTTCTTCAAAATGTGAAACCAAAGAAGAAGAAGATAAGAAGGACAACAAAAAATCTGAGAGAAATGTGAAAACGAAAAAAGAATTGGTTTCAGGTTTTATGATCAGAGCTTTTGCTTTTAGAAAACAGTTGTTATATAATATACTTATATATACAAAATCTATAGATAACATAAAAGCTTAGTTTTTTGTGAATATCTTTTTTTCTTTGTAATTTGTTTTTTTTTTCCCGCTGTTAGCTTCCTATTTCCGCTACATCCTCTCGTATCTTTCTTTAATAAGAAAAAAGAAAAATCTGAAATCATTTTTTTATAAACCACAAAATATTTGATAATATATCAAACAAAGTAATTCATAATTTTTAAAGAATGTACTATTTATTACTTTGACTAAAAAATAATACTAAATATAATCATGGCTAACCATATTGCCAGTATACAAGAAAGAAATTAAGGAAAAAGTATTATTACAAATGCACACCTCTGTTTTTATGGATAAACATGCCATTAGACTTTAATAGTTATGGTATTAAAATTTTGACCAGGCAATTAATTTACCATAAATCGTTAAAATGTTCTTTATGATTCTATTATTATTATACGTGAACGTGCTTGCTCTGTGATCATTTATTGTCTTCTATCTCGATTTATTTGTTCTTAATTACACCCACCGTTTCTAAAAACAAATACTGTAGTAGGTTTTTTTCTTATTTTTAAATTTTAATAGATAAAAATTTTTAGAAACGGAAGAGAGTAGTTGTGAATCTTGTGATTGTGGTCTCATAGTCATAGAATGAAACGTTTAATTATTATTTATTAGTGTAAAATCCTACAGTTTATTTTTCTTTTTTCCGGTCAACAATAGTATATAATGGATTATAATATCCGACAGTCCCATATATTAAAAACAATCAGTAGTTGTTTCGGGGTGCACAAGAAAAAAAAATCAGTTTTTGTTTCATTTATTTTAACTTTAACTAATAAGATAAAGATGAAATGTTAATATGTTATATAATTTTTTCATACAAAAATACAAAACATCTATTCTGAAACAACTTTTTATTTCAAAAAATATTTATTAGGAATGGAGAGATTAATTATTATTAGGATATAATTATTATTTTCGACGGTGATTGAATTACTTAAACGGTTGAATTTGGTATTATTATATACCAAAAATATTTTCATAACATATTCGATTATGCGAATAATTGTTAAATTCCGTAATTAGCTCAAACAAATCTCTATTTCAACAAACAAATAATTACAAATTGAAAAAGGAACTTCCTAAATTAATTCAAAATAATAGCTAACTTTCTTAATTAACTCAAAATAATCTACGTTTTAGATGCTACTCATTTATGATATTTTGATTTTTGATTTTTTATCTAACAGAATTATATGCAATCTTATTTTATGGTTGTTAACATAAATTCACTCATTGTTCAAACAATATTAATTTTTAAAATATTATTACTTTCTGTTTTCATATCTTAAAAAACAATATCCATAATTTAGTATTATATAAAAATAAAATATATTTATTCTAATATTATATATAGGGACTGACAAAAAAATTTAATATTTTTTCACTTACTCTATAATATATCAAAACTTGATTTTAAAATACATAATATATAAAATTTTGTAAGAAAATTTAGCAAGTGCTGTAGTACGAGTCCTGATCTAGTCCAATTTAATTTTTGAAAACATACATGAAAGAGGTATCAATCTATATAAAAGCTTTGATGCCCACATACATATATTTCTATATTTCTTGGTAAAAAGAAAGTATATATTTTATTTTATAAATTAGATATTCACATAAAAAAAAACAGTCACAAAAATATCGATTTGGAGAACCTCGATCACCCTTTCTTTCTTTAGTTGCGACTTGTTGGTTTATTGATGGATGTAAGATATCACTTCGAAGGATTTTGGGGTGGTGTTAACCCGCCAGGGTTCATAAATGATATCCATGAAGATGGATTTACAATCACTGTACATGTTGGATATCAGATGGTTGTCAATCCAATTCATTTTCCAGTAGTCAAGTGTATAATAATGACGTGAACGCTCAGGGTCATGTTCATGTCATTGAAGTAAACGCCCAAGCTCATGTAAATGTGGTTGTATAGACATATCTCACAGAGCAAATTGTACTGGCCTCAGAGCATCTGGTGCTATACCAACATGAGGTTTTGTATCTCTTGAATAACGACACAATCCCAATGCGTGCAGAAATTGAACCTACCCCAATTAATGGTATATTCATTTACCCAATTGGATTCATGAGGCGACGAGACGGACACAATTATACGATATGCCACAAATACTTGATTGAAGCGATTGGTGATAATAACGACCAAGTGATGTACTGGCACTCCCATCTTGTGCATCATCTTGGTGGGATTATAACAGTCCGCCGCTACTACATGAATGTTGATAATCCTGAAAATTTTATGATTCATTATATACATGGAGGACCATTTTCAGAAGATGGTGAACTATAAATCCCATTGCAGCCACAAGCTTGAGTATGGGTGTTTTATCTACTATTGATTTCTTTTTTTTGCTACTTGAGTAGGATCCGGAAATATGGTTCTTTTATACCATATGAACTTTGTGTTTGTAAAATGTTCTGACTATTACTGCTACATTGATATAATTTTTCAAGACGAAAAAAAAAGAAGACATTCACATAAAAAAAATTCTTTATGAAATTTTGTGTTATATAATAATTAAATGAAATGTAAAATCGTCCAAAATTAAGTTTTGTCATATCAATGCCATTTTTAATTAATTTATTTTCTATGCATCGCCCAAAGTTTTTGAAATAATAGCAAAATAAACTTCAATAGAAACAATCTAACACTTGGTGAATTCTGCTTCACAATGATAGGAAGAGCCGACATCGAAGGATCAAAAAGCAATGTCGCTATGAACGCTTGGCTGAAGCAATTTTTATCAACCTCCGCATGCTCATGATGGAATAAGATGTCAAATATATGGCTTTTGAAAGCTAGATGACCTATGGCTACACAATTCGAAGAACGCTTGGCTGAAGCAATTCTTATTAATAAACGATGAATTATTTTTTGGGGGATTAGCAAAAATACCCTTTTTCTCATGCCCCTTTTCAAAAATGCCCTTTTTAGATGTCCATTTTCAAAAATGCCCCTTTTTAAATCTGAAATTTTTATAAAGTTTTATTAGGTTTAGAAGGTACTTATGGATTGTAACTACTACTTGAAGACTCGATCCAAGTATTTATAAGGTTTTATAAGGTGTTTTTAAAGGTTTTACAAGTTATTTTAAAGGATTTTTAAGGTTTTTCAAAGGTTTTACAAGATATTTTAAAGGTTTTTAAAGGTATTTAAAATGCATTTATAAGGTATTTATAAAATATTTATAAGATTTTAGATACATAGAAATGTAGTTTTTGTATGTTTTAATAATATTACATATATATTTGGGTAAATCTTATATTTTAAGAGCATTTTTTATAAGGTTTTTAAAAAGGGGTATTTTTGAAAAGTGGCATTGAAAAAGTGGCATTATTAACAATTTCCCTTATTTTTTATCTTGTTAAAAAAAGTAAGATTATTGTTAAGTGGGTCGTCTTTTAAGTGACAAAGATTAATATAAATATCAATAAAAATAGAGAATAATTAACAAAGCTACAATGTTTTATAAACCTAATTTAGAAGAAATTATTAAAAATAATCTTTAAATTTTTTTTAATGCCTCATAAGAATTTCATCCAAAACAAAAAGCTCACATTATCTTCTTTTTTTTTTTTTTTTTAGCTCACATAAATTCATTGATTAAAGAAGACTATATTCTTGTTCAAGAATGGATAGAGACAAACTAATAAAATTAACTGGTGGAGGTCAACGAATCAACATTTCAAAAGTTGCAAAAAAAGATGTCCGATCCATACAAATGATAAAAATAGAACTCGAAAAATATGAAATCTCAAGGAGCAGACAAGAAAGGTTAATGGTGTTGTTGTGGGTGCTTTTCTTTCTACCACACTTAAGAAGATGGATCATTATGCATCACCCACTTGTTCTTCGTTTTTCTTGTTATTTTATCAATTAATTTATTTTGTCTTTTATTTTTTGAATATTTAGAATTTATTTTCACAAGTTTCTTCTTCTACGCCAGTAGCTTTTTATTTTAGATTCAACAAAATTGCGTAATGCAAAAAATATAAGTTTCAGCATGCATTGGCGTCCACGTGAGTCCTTCTCAAGTCTCGACGACAAGGTTCTTCTTGAACGGTCCATACTTAACACATAAATTAATTAATTAAAGAAGAATATTCGTGTTCAAGTATGGATGATATCTATCTTACGTGGATGTCTACTCTCACAATTTTAAAATTTTACCCAACCAAAAATAAACTTTTTGTGTGTGAACATTATATGTTCTGTTGTTGACACATCGAATCTTCATCTACTGGTGGAGAAATATCATAATTTTGTTTTCTTTAAAAGAGAGATAAATCTTTTGTGGAGTTTGTGCACCGGTGAAGCAAAATAAAAAATGGATACGGATACATAATGGCTTCATATGACTCGCATGAGAAGTGGTATACTCAACAAACTCATGGTTGGGGTGAATAAAGCTATAGGCAAAAAAAGTAAACTCAGACACAAACACAAATAAGAAGCACGCGAATCTTTGTTGCTTCTTGACTATGTAATCATCTTTGAGTTTTCCATTCCCAAGTTTCCCCCACCAAATAGTGCTTGAGCTTATAAACAAACTCACCATCATAACCTTTTGCATGTTCCATCACTATTCACTTGTAGGGTTTTCAGTTGTTGTTCTTGTTAATAAACAATTAATGAAGTCATTAAGTATCTGGATCCGCATCCGCATCCGCATCCGCATCCGTTCCCATTATGTATATCTAATGATGTGCACTTCTATATATATAATCAGGACCGGCCCAGACCTAAAGCCCATCAAGCAGGTGCTTTAGGCATCACATTATATTTTAAGTTTAAGGGGCATCAAATTTAAGAAAAGGTCTTGTATTTCAGTGGTTATTAACTCATTTACTAGAGGGAGGTGACAAGTTTGAGACATATTAAA